TTAGGCCCAAAATTATGAAGTCCATATTATTTAAAAATGATAAATTATTTACTTAGTCACTCACCTATTATTTTATTTTACTTTTAGTCATTTAATTATTTTTTTCCAGAAACACACTTAACGTTACATTTTATTTATTTTTTGGTGATCCATCATTAAAAAATCAATGAAGATACAGATGTTGTATTTTTAAATTATTTTTTCACTTATCACTTAATTTTTTTATATTATTTATTTAACAAGACAAAGAAGGTTGAAATCGAACCCGAGCCTTTTTAAAAGAGGGTCGTGCTTGTTTCGTGTGAGTAGTGAGGTGTTTAATAAATTTTTTTGATGTTTTTATTTAAAATTTGATGTATTTATTATATAGTTTACTAAACGTGATAAAGAAAATAATTTACAAACAAATTTATTTGTTTTTATTTGTTTTTGTATTTTTTAATATTTATTATTAGAGAACTAATTTTTATATTTATCACAAACCACTAAAATTTCATTAATGGGCCTGAATCTAACGGTGTCGAGGTGCAATTCCTTTTTTGCTGAAAGAATACATATGCATCCGACAAAAGAGCGATTCTTTGAACCCATAATCTCATGACATACACCATGACCATCATAATCTGTAATCTGACAAAACAAACACTTTCAGCTTTTAAATATTATACCAAATAATTTATATGTAAACTAAAGAATAAAGAAAAGTACAAACTCAAAATTACCCACACATCACCTTTGTCTTTCGCAACGTATCTTTTGTATGCGCCGTGTCTCAAAGCTCTCATACTTTGATTTAATAATAATACAACAGATTTTCTCTCTTTTCTTAATTAAGCAAAATCTTTGTTTTGAGAGAAAAAAAAAAAGGGTTAATTAATGGTGCGCGTCTAGAGCAAGGAATTTCATGATTCTTTTCAATTAATAAACTTTGAAAATTAATGGTGCGCATATAGAAGCAAGAAAGTTCGTGATTCTTTTCAATTAAGAAACTCTGAAAAGCATGCCCATTGGATTTCAGTCATGATGCATTCGCAGCATCATATCTTATGCAAGTAAGGTTCAAACAAAATGATTAATATATTATTATTATTCAGAGAAATGTTGGGTATTTTTTTACGTAAATAGCATTATCAATTTATCATGAACAGCTGATAATGTTGAAGCATTAAGCGATCCATAAACTAATGGGTTGTGAAATAATTAATGAAGCATATTCCTTTTAATTAATTGCATCGATGCAATTAATTAATTATAAACTAAAAGGAAAACAATTCAGAAAGTGATCTCTTACAAACGGCCGCCGAAAAATATCTCTTTATTCTTGAAGATTTATTCCAAATGGATTTGTCGAAAGATTGTGTGTTGTCTTTTACATGTTGTCCAAGAATTATCGGTGATGGGAATAATACGCTCTTGTAAATGGTTAAATTCTACCGTTTGTTCATGTATACTATTTTAATTTGATTAATTTTAATTCTTGTTTTTTTAAATTTTGATTCTAACAATATAGATATAATATAAATAAATTACAAGATTTTAAATGATAAAACTGAAGAACATAATTTAAGTCTATGATCTATATTTGAATCATGAATTAACAATATAATTCAACTTAACGCATTTAACAGTTATTATTTGAGTTACAATCAAGATTGTAAGATTTGAAAAGTACAACGAATTAGGATGTAAAGATTAATTTACAATTTACTCATAGTACATGGATTAATCTAAAAAATTGACCCTTATAAATATGGGTAAACAATTTTGTAGAGTTAATTACATCATACGTTCTTAAAGTATGTCTCTCATTCTAGATTGATCTTCAAACCATTGAATATTCTAATTTTATCCCTAAACAATTACTCTAAATTAATCCTCAAAGTTTTAAACATTCCAATTTTATCTCAAAATTATGACTCTCATTCTAAATTAGTTCATAAACTTTTGAATCTTCCATTTTCATCTCCAAATTCATGCAAATATGTAATTAGTTTCAACCATAGTTCAATTTGGTCAGACGTTTTTATTAACATGAGATATGATTAGCACATAGCGATAATTTGCAATGAAATTAAAATTCTCAAAAGTTTAAGGACAAATTTAGAGTGAGGATCATATTTTGGGGATGAAATTAGAATGTTCAAAATCTTAAGCACTAATTTAGAATGGGATTCATAATTTAAAGATATAATTAGAACATTTAAAAGTGTAGGGACTAATTTAAAATCATTATCCTATTTTTTATGAAAAGGTGATGCAATTAATCCTTTTTTGTAGTAAAATTTTGCTAATTCTAGACTGAAATATAAATATGGTATATTGTTAATATATAAAATAATATTTTTTTTATTAAGCTAAAGGTGATTACAAAGTTCTATATGTTCTAAATACTTTCAATCATTTAATAATAAATGTACAATCACCCTTGCAGTAGCTAATGCTTGAACCGGTAACCTCTAGGAACAACAACGATTCCTTTAACCATTGAGATAATTTAGTTCATGTAAATGATTTTTTTTTGCATAACTATTATTTAGGAGAGAGAATTTGTTCCTACTAAATATTAAACCCATAACTTAGAAAAATAAAATATGTCAATTGATCATTTTTTAACTACTTACTCTAAAATTGTTAACTATTTTAATGATATCATTTCATCAAGAAGTTTTAAAATGAAATACGTTTCTGGTGCACTTCAAATACTATTTTTAGAAAGAATAAAAGTTATAAAAGGTAAATGTTTTGTATTTAAATTGAACAATTTTTTTTAATTTAAGACAATTGATAATACATTTTTTGGGGCATTAAATAGGAAATAGTTTTAAGAGAAATGCTAGTGATGAATAATTTTGTTACCGGAGCATATCTCATCATTCACACATACTATCTTTGATCGGTTCATTCTGTCATCATTGGCAGATATAACCCGACAAACTACTAGAAGATGAAATAGTGAGCTTCACAGAAACTTTATAAATAAAAAATAATAAAAATTTGTATAAAAACAAACTTAATTTGTTTTTTTAGAATTTCTCAATGACAAATGCAGCATGTGATTGAAGAGCAAGAAGCTAAATCCTCGAATGGATCAGGTTTGAGTGTGGTGGATAAATATATGATCTGCATAGGCAATGCAGGAAGAGAAGGAGATTCCCAAACCCCAACAAAGGATCAGTGTTTTGGAAAATCAAGAACATCCAACCTAAAAGATACAAATGATGAGACCCTCCCTGTCCGGAAAGAACATCTGTGGAGGGGGGCATACGCTGTGTTCGCTTAATCAATTGGACCCGCACACCCTGTCCTTTCTCACTTTATTTATTTAAATCCACTGTCATATTTCACCGGCTCTTTGCTTCTTTCTCACGTTTTGCAGTGAGATTGATGGGGTAAGGTTTTTGATGGATTCTCGATTCAGTAATCACTTTTTCGTTCTTCGGGTAAGCAAAGCGGCAGAGCAGCCGCAGATAAGCTTTACTCCCAATAAAACTTCTTCTTCAAAAGAGAAAAAAAACACCTTCTGAAACCCAACAGTACCACTACAGCTCCAACTATTGCACTCCTTACTTTAATTGATTATCTTATTATTACTCACTATTTCTTCGTAAATCACAATAGTGTCTTATGGTAATGCTGAAAATGAGGCCAAAAGACTAAAAATAGTGGAATTTGAGGACAAAAGACGTGACTCTGACTTGAACTGCCAGCTCCATATGAGTGAATCATAGAGACGCAAAAAAACCACGAGAGGACACTCTTTACTTTTTCTGCATTTGTACAGTATCTTATCATCTACTTGTGTCCGTGGGTATACAGATGCAAGTTTTAACAAGAGATATATTGAACATTCAGCTGTGGCCTGTGGGGGCAAATGTACATTATTACCACAGATGCTGACAAAAAGTGGGAGTAGCAGAGAAGATGATGATGATGATCGATCGTCGTGTTTTTAATAAATGCAAGCGTGTGGCTGTGAATGAAATGAATTAGACAGTCGAAGATATTAAGGAAAATTTTCCGAAGTCGAGACTCTTTAAACCCGAATTAATACTGTCTAATGCTGAAAACGACAGCTTTAGTTGATTTGGAGAAAGAAGTGGAGATCGGGAACATTTCCCTTTTTAAGACCATAGCTTAGCTAATTTTGATAACGACGTATGCTTTCAACTGCCTGTGCTGACCTTGCAAAAACCCAGAAATCTAGGGTGCGTGTATTGTAATGTAAAAACCCTAAGCTTCCTACGTTTCTGGTTTTCTTCCCAATGGCTTTAGAGATCTTCCATTCATATTGAAAATATACAGGAAAAGAACAAAATTATGATAGCGTAGAGGCTTTGTCTACGTGTGAAATGGCTGAAACCTTTCCATGCAACAAGAAGAAAACAAATGCTTTTACATATGGGATCCAATGAGGACTGTGACACTGTTTGAAACGCCTGGTACCATGGAAATGGGAGGTGTGGAGCTATAGCTGCTGGGTCTCACCTGCTACGAATGAATTACTGAAACTCACAAGTCACAGCGTCCCTTCCCCTTCCTTTTTTAGTAAAGACTAGTTAAAGTTGAATGAGGTTTTAATAAGATTAATCAAAAAGCATAAAATAAAAAACAAGTTGTGACACACCGACTGCTCTATTCTGTTTCATACGTAGGTATAGGTTTTTTTTTTATTAGTAGAACATTTTAATATTAAGAAAGGAACATGCTATTGCTGGAAGGTCAGCCGGAAAATATATATATATATATATTAATTTACTTACTTTCTGTTAAAAGCATGTAGTTAAATACAAACCTATACACAGGCGAAAATAGTGGTTAATTTGCTCAGTGCTACATGGGGATGAATTTTGGGCGTTTGAGAGCTGTGGCTATGATGAATTAGTGAATAAAATTTGGAAAGAAAGTAAACCCGGTGGTCCTCAAGAACAAAGTAGAAAGGTAATAATAAATAACGTAAAGAAGGACGCCATAGACTTAGGCTTAGAGAATCCTCTTTAAAGTTGGACCTTAACACTGCATCTATTTCATTCCACTTATTCTTTAAAGCATAAACAATGACAGAGGAGGAAGAGCAGCTTCACATGCACCCATGCCTAGAGCTACTTCTGCCCAAATGACGCGACCAAAGGCTTAGCTGCCATATATATATGGCTTCTATTACCCTTATTTAGGTTCAAATTACCACAATACATAAATATATATAGTAAATGCCGATGACACATTTTAAAATCCCCCTGGTATTAGTAGGACAACAGTATAGTCTTATTGCACCCACCACCACCTAGGCAAACAATAAAAACTAGAAAAGCTAAGCGAGACATCTCTAGCTCAGACTAAGGGAAATCCAGAAGATAGAGAGGCTAACCATAGACCAAACTTTCACTTAAAAATGTAAAAGAAACACTCATCCCAGCAAGATCATATGCCCCATATAGGAAACCCTAAATGGAGCATAGTATACTCTCTGAAATTTCTTGGTTGTTCACATGCCACCTTCTCCTCCTCCATCGTTGATATCACCCGAAGAGGTATCATTCCAAGGAAAAGAATAAGGAAGAGCACCAGGGACCTGATAGAATCCTCCTCCTTCATTGTCAATATTCCTTCTGTTAAATTCAGCTAGCCTGTTACGGGGAGTGAGCGGTTGAAATGATCTCGTCCCCGGTGCTTGAGGCAAGGATGTTGAGATGTCGTTGCAGGCGTAGCGGATCAAGTCGGCATTAGCTGCATCAAGTTCTTTCTGGAGCCTTTGTACTTGTCTCTGCAGGAAAGTGATGGCACCAACGCAGCCGTAAACCGGATCTCTTACTCTCGCCTCAGCTTCATAGGCAAGGGAATTCACCGCGTCCTCTCTTTGGTGAGGGAGGAGCTCGTTGAGGAGCTTGGTCACGTTGCTCGCTCCAAAGATCTTGTGAACATTCACAAACTTTTGGGGCTCCTCCGGTGGAAAGTAAGGTGCAAAGATGCAGCCTGGCATGCATTTCCTCCTCAACAATTTGCAAGCAGCACAGGGTGAATTGTAAGAGCTGGAAGAAGCCATTTTCACTGCTGTGTACAGATCCACAAGAAACAGTTATCGTCAGCAGAAATTTTTTTAGTTCTTTAACGATGGGATTTTGAAAAGGTTTTGAGAAACTATATTATCATTTACGCTTCATCTGCATAATTTCCATGATATTTTCAGTTTTTCCTTTCTTCTTCTTTTTCATAATTAACTTGGGGGATTGAGGTTCACTTTTCGAGAATCTGTGATCTATAGTTACTAGGGTTTTCCTGAACGTAAATATTGTCTGTGATTCAGTATATCTAACAATCTAACCAACTCCAAAGGAACTAAGACCAAAACTTTTGAAGTTCAAAAGAAAAATAAAATCTTTAGGCCACCTTTCTGACACTCTCAGTGACAAACAACAGGGAGCTAGAATTTGAAACATTCATGCATAAGCAATTACACATAACTATGTAAATATTAACTATCACCACTTTACTTTATGCAGATATAGCTGCCTTCATTCTTCGTTAACTTGTTTTTCCCCCCTTCTTTGCTAATTTCTTGTACGTACTTAGAGAAAAAAAGAAGAGGTTCAATTCATGATCCACACAAGGATCTGTGCCTGTCACCATTAATTTTGGTTCCTAAGTTTTTCTTTTCTGTTAATTATAATAATATATGATCCATAATTAACTTGTAGTACTGCAAATTTAGTTGCATGAGTAAGCTGTAAAGCCATGGGATCCTTTTCAGCAATGGAATATGAAGATGGGATCTGATATCTGAGAAGTGCAAAATTCACAAAGACAAGATTAAACCTATCATATATAGGTATATTTAAGGTATATTTGAAAATAAGCGAAGCCCTAAAACTAGAGCCTTTTAGCTATTAGCTATTAGCTTAGCATAGCTTGCCTTGCCAACAAAAGGAAGAAGAAGAAGAAGATAATGAGAAAGCAGCAACAAGACATAATACACATATAAATATATACTGAACTTGGATCTGTGGTTTATGATGAGAAGAATGAAAAAGGGAGGTACCTTTTCCCCTTAAATGAATGAGCTGTGTATGTTTGAGGAGGATGTTGGTTTGCTCTGCCTTGGGAAGTGGAAAACTGATGATAAAATAACCTAACCAACCCCCCTGCAGAATTTATCGCTGCAGACAAAGAGGAACCCTAATTGGAGAAAGAGAAAGAGAAGAGCAAGTTGATGAGTGAGAAAAAGGTAATGGAGAAGGAAGAGGGGAAGGCAAAGAGCATTTAGTGGATGGGGATGGAATGGAGGCAAAAGACAAACGGACTAAGGAATGACTGTGACCTTGCGTCTAATAATAATACCAGGGGATGTCTCCCATTTCTCATTTTCCCCCAACATTTTCTTTTTTTTCTCATGAATCACTTCATGCTTCACATATATTCCGTAATCCAAGAATAATATTTATTAAGGCATACTAATGGAGAATTCTAAGTATTAACAATTGGAAAGGGAAAAAGGAAAAGCAATGAGGAACAAAATATATATAAGTGCTTCTACATGCATATTTAGCAGTGAAATTGATTCTCAAAAAAAAAAAAAAAAAGAAACAATCACCATTCGGATCATATTCACCATGTTGTCATAAACTGTAGTTATAATCATAGCCCTTCTTCTCCCTTAAACGAATGATCAACAACTAAAGTCTAAGGTTTAAGTTTTATGCATATAAAAATATTATTAAGAGCGTGGATGGACAGGTATTGAGTATGCGGTTGTATCTTTTAAAAACTTTAAATTCACATATAATTTAATTTTTTATATTTTTTTATTGATATTTCAATTTTATACCCCTAAACTTCTAATATTTCTTAAATTCAATCCCTAATAATAGTACTTTTTCCCGTTAACTTTTTAAAATAAATTCATTTTAACTTTGTTTTTTTACATCTTTCGGCCCTTAAATTCCTTTTTTGTTGTCAAATTTAACGAACTACTGAAATTTCAAATCTAAAATACTATCATACAAAAAATTGGGGGAACACGGCCTCCACATTCTGTTCCTACTTAAAATACAATGAATAAAATGAAGATTTGTTTGTGTTGCTGCAAATATTTTTTGAAAAATAATGTTTATATATTATATATTTATTTGAAAGAAAATAACTTGATCAACAACAAATAATTTACTAAACAATCGGAAAATAAATTCATGTTTCTATAAATTATCTTTACTTCTTCAATAACATGAAATAATTTAAAAAAAAAGCAGTCCTTATAGATTATGAAGTCTTGGTGAATGGTTATGAAAGTTGACCAAATCATATTCAACAACATTTTAGCAATGGATTCTATTGCTATTAGAACCGCTGATCTTTATCAGTATGCTCTTCTCTATATGGTCAATTAGTTATTTTATGCGAATTGGCAGATCACATAGTTCATAAAAGGGGATGTTGATGCAAAAAAACCATGACAAACTTCGACTGTTCAAAGTTTCAGTCTACTCTAGCTTTTTCTTAGCTAGGTTTCATATTAAATTCCCAGTAGATTCATCTTTTTCCATTAGAGATGATAAAAGACCAAGAGCTCTACCCATCAAATGCCAGACTAAGCATGTTACACAAAGCCTATTCTACATTTTCATTTCTAAATTACATATCCAATCAAGCCAACTCACAGGCTAAGCGCACAAAACTCTTTTGGAAAACGTTTGCTTATCAGTGAAATGGGTGCCATAAAATGAAGTTTTCAATCCGAAACTAGTCCATACATATACGTTTAACAGTGGGATTTGATGCGACTAATCCGTGTTGCAACAGTCCCCATTGCATGCTGGTGGCATATTTATAATGGCAATGGAGTACCAAATATTAAGGTTCCCTCTGGATAGTGCTAATTTATATTGAAAGCTAGTCTAGGCTATGATGGTAGCTAGTTGTAGGAATTTTACTTAAACAGCACTAATAGCTTTTGATTTTTTTTCCTTTTCTTGGTGGATAATTATCAAAGCATGCATACTTGTTTTTCATAGTCTAACTTTTATGATTGAACCATCTTAGTGATAAGTGACAAGATGAAATGTTGTTTTTTTAGAAATTTGAGTTTGAATTCATTATTTCCGACTAAGTTTTGCGTTCATTATTAATTAGTTAAAAAATATCTGAATAGATAAAATTTTATAATCCCCTCATACTAATAAAGAAAAGTTTCATGATTGTCGAACCTAATGGCCTAACCAGCCAAACCATAATAAGACAAAACATGGGTTTTCTCACAACCAAGCATAGAACATATATTAGTCCTATTAACACCCATGTTAGCTAAGGCCACTGCGAACACGGGTTCCTCTTTATTGCCGCAAGTTCAGCAAAAGCAAGTTAATCATTGTGATTTTACTGTTTAGGCTTCATAACGATCAAATACGATGTTGGGCCTTTTTTATGATCAATAAGGCAGATGATGGGCTATGGGAAGCTTATTCTACAACTACTAAAACAATCTCCTTCCACTGACCCAACATTGGGCCTCCTTTTTTGTGATCAAAACCTTACATACGAACATACAGACAGATGATATGAGATTTAGTTTATACTTGATTTGATTGAAGGCATGTCTGATCTGCTTCTCGCTATTGTCTTATTATTTGTACTTCTCGTCTAACGCTTTTCCTTGTAGGTTATTGTAAGCCTCCTTTAATAATGTGACTAATTTCATTAACTAGTTATTAGACTTAGTAATTATGGTTGAACAATGGACATACTCTAAATGATGGAATCCCTCATCAAATATATTCTTCGTATTCCTATATGAACCCGGTGCATTTGATATCAAAATCTTGGTGTCCAAACCATAATGGATGAAGGAGGCAGCTGCATCATTGTGCCGGCAGAAATCTGGATGCTTTAAGCTTGGAAACAAGAAACAAGAAACCATGCCCTCACCTTTTCACTTTGGTTCTTCACAGTAAAAATAATAGTCATCGAGCCATAACAGTTCCAAGTTATTATTGTATTTCTTCAGATATATACACTTAAATGTATGTATAGATTGGTCTGTAATATCGGAATTAGTAACTAATGGGATTAGAGATGAGTTGAGTTGGGTCGAGTTTTCGATCAATTCAACCTAACCCTAAAATTATATATAATACACCCGATTTGATATATACCATTCACCGATCCAAATCTGACCATTTGTTTTAGATAAAACACAAACTAGACTCGACTCAAAATAATATATTATACAAAATATTGTTTTTATTCAACAAGAATATAAACTTAATTAAAATAATATATATATGAATATTATTGTAATTATCTCTATATATCTAAAGTAAAATTATTTTTTTCGGATCAAGTTAAATATTTTTATTCTAAACTCAAATCTTATCCGACCCAAATATAATCTTTAAAAAAAATCTGATTCGACCTAAACATAATCTTTAAAAAAATTTGATCCGACCTAAACATAATATTTTAAAAAAAGTCTGATCCGGGTCAATGAGAACCTGAATTATATTTAAAACATATCTGAATCAATAATATCAGATTAGATCAAAACTCATAAGATACTAATCCTATACCCGTCCCTAAATGGGATGATCTTGGTGCATAAGATACGAATCCTATGCCCGTCCCTAAATGGGATGATCTTGGTGAGCATTAATACTTCAACTAGGTCCTGCAGTTGTAGTAAATGAAGTGAAAGAGAGATACATCAATGGGAAAAGGTGCCAAACAAACTATCCCCTTATTGGCCACTTCACCAAAGTCTACAGAACTTGCAAAACCAAAGCAGTCGTGTCAGATACTTTGGAAATCTTCATATCTTCCTGAGTTATGTCTTATTTTTTAATTGAAAAGATGTTATGTCTTCTTTGGAAGGATTTGGAAATTGACTTTTTTTTTCAACCAATTCTAGCAAATTTTTATTCTCTCAAATGCAACTTTTATAAGTTGAATATTTGTAGATAAATTGATAATTATCAAAAACAAAACTAGTAGACTATCTGTTGAAAAGCAGTGGGACGAAATCGCGAACACTCTTAGGTTTGAGGTTGTCTTGGATTTTTACCATTTACTTTTGTTTCTGATTTGTCCGCTGAACTACTGTTGTCGGCCATTGCCACTCCAGGCGTACTTTCCTCTAATCATCTCATTACTTTTGACAATTACTTTATTAATTAATCTTATCACAATAATATTGTATTTCCCAAGTCTCCTTACTGTTGTTGCTCATGCATTTCTTCCTCAAACTTCAAAGCTTTTCCTTTTTCTCTTTTCTTCAATCCACGCACAATGTCGAGTAAGTCGATTCCGGTTGCTTCCAGAACAAGAAGTAAACGGCGGAAAGCGACGTCCTGCTGTGTTGATAGCAAGCGGAGGAAGACACTGGCGGCGGATGATGGAAGGGCCAAAACGAAAATGTCTACGCCGGATCCTTCCTTCAATGGTGACGTGTCTTTGAGTTCTCAAAAGGAAACCGCTCAAGTTCGAATCTTGATAGAAGAATCTGACGATGAGTTGGGAGACCAAGATGGAAGCAACCCTCAACCGGGTGTTATTTGGCTGAGTAGTGATGATGATAATGATGATGAAGAATACAGTGAGGATGATGATTCAATGGCAGTTTCGGATGACGATCTCTCCAATACAAGTGGAGAGGATAGTTCTGATCCAGACGATTTGGATTATTATGAGGAGCAGGAAGAGGAGGATCCTCGGTCCTCTTCTAGTTCGGAAGATGACGCCGAAACTTCTTTTTCAGAGACGTCAAGTCGTTTCATTGTGAAAAGAAAAGCTGTAGAGACCGAGTTCGTCGGGGAACTCTCTAAGGAGTGTAAAATGAAATTAAGTGGCTCCATTGGCTTGGATGGTTCCATCACTATGTCTGAGAGAGAAAAGTTTGACCTTCTTAGCTTTCTCGCCGAATCTATTGTGGAAAAACAGGATTTAGACTTGGATTCTAACACATCCCAAGAGAATCTCATTCTAAAAGAAGAAAACGAAGAAAACATTTTGCCTCTCAAGTTTACTTTTGGAGTTGAGGAAGAAATCATTCCCGAGAAAACCGAGTTCGAGAAAGAAATAGATTACTTGTGGTCTGAGATGCATCTTTCTATGGTGTCCGAGTTCGGTTCGACATCAACTCTGCCATCTATGGTATGTTGAATGCTTCATGAATAATAATGAGGACGACCATGTATTTGATTATTGCATTTTGCTTTAGCAAAATCAGAGTTTGTTTGCCCTTTACACCACTAGTTTCAAAGTCATTTAACTCTACTTGTGTCTGCATGCTGCATTTTGGATTTAAACTGAACTAGTACTTTTCATATTGAATTGATGAACAGGTGGAAAATGAAGTTGCTAATGTTTCAGAGTCTGAACATGACAGAACAACCCTATCTCGATGTCGTCAAGGGGATCATAATCTCGTGTTAGACGAAGAAGTTGGAATGAAATGCAAATTCTGCTCTTTCCTGCTGCTGGATATCAAAGATATGTCACCACCTTTTGTAAGTTGTTTGTCGTGCCTCCATGTTTCATGCTTAATAATCTAAAATGGAACATTCATTTTCATAATTGCGGTTTGTTTTATTTTATCTTGGCTGGGTATAAAGTGGCATGATGGTTGAAGAAGTGCTCTGTTGAAAGCATTGATGGATAAGCTTTCTTGCATTTTGAATTTCTAGGAATGCTGGGGATTTTAGCCCATAAAATTTGGGGCATTTTATTCTAAACAGTTCCAGTGAGAGTTATGCTATGAGCCTAGCTAAATTGCTCAATAGGCTAATCACTAGGAGCCTAATGTATATACACATATTTACATAACACTCGATTGTTCATAACTTGGTTTTGCTTGATTCAGATGGCAGATCCTTGTGGAAAATATGAAAGACAATTCTGTGGCAATATGGACTCTTCTATATTTGATGGCCTTCAATGTGAAGACTCTAACCTTGATATACCCGGCATTGATCACTCTGCTAATATCGAGGGCACGGTGTGGGGAATCATTCCTGATTTGAAACGTAAACTCTACCCCCATCAGCATGAAGGTTTTGAATTTATTTGGAATAACATAGCAGGTGGGATTTATCGTGACAAGTCGAAAAACTCATCCAAAGGTGGTGGTGGATGCATTATATCTCATGCTCCCGGGACAGGGAAAACGCTTCTAATGATAGTCTTTCTTCAGACGTACTTAAATGAATATCCAAGTTGCAGGCCAGTGATTGTTGCTCCTCGCAGCATGCTACTCACATGGGAAGCAGAATTTAGAAAGTGGAAGGTTGACATTCCCTTTCACAATCTCAACACTGAGAAATTTTCTGGCAAGGAAAAACTGTATGGTATTGGTCTTTATGAAAAATTCAAGCACCGTGTTCCTTACCAAGATAGACCTCTTGCCCGACGTATGGTGAAGTTGCTGTCTTGGAAATCCGATGGAGGCATTCTGGGAATCAGTTACAACCTTTTTGTGCAACTTGCTGGAAAAGACATCGATGAGAAGCAAAAATGTACAACGGTAGATAAGCATGTGAGTAAAATCCTTCTTGAGCTTCCCGGTCTCTTTGTTCTTGATGAAGGGCACACACCTAGAAATGATGATACACTTATGTGGAAGGCTTTATCGAGAATCAAAACTGAACGTCGTATCATTCTCTCTGGAACTCCTTTCCAAAATAATTTTGATGAGCTATTCAACACTCTTCGCCTAGTGAGACCGAAATTTGCTGAAGGAATCCAGTATAGGCATCGAGTAGAAGCTAATAAGAAGTGCAGTGATGAAGGAAGCGAAGCAAAAAGGAAATGGGACCTTTTGACTGATTCCATTGGCAAAGATGATATATATGAAGCTGAAAAATTGAGTGAGCTTAAAGCTGTGATTAAGCCTTTTGTGCATGTGCATAAGGGTACAATTCTACAAACTACCCTTCCTGGTTTGAGGCATTCTGTGGTTGTTTTACGGCCCTCTAATCTGCAGATTAGAATCCTTGAGCGTGTTAAAGAAACAAGAAATCCATTTTTGCGAGAGTATTATGTGTCCTTGATCTCCACCCACCCTTCTTTGTTGCTACAGTTATCCAATAAGAAAGATATTACAGAAATCGTTGGCTCCATTGTTAGTATGAATGAGTTAGAAATGATAAGACTGAAGCCTGATAAAGGAATTAAAACAAAATTCCTTATGGAACTTCTTAAGCTTAGTGGAGCTCTGGATGAAAAGGTCTTAGTTTTCAGTCAATACCTTGAACCATTAAACCTAATAGTGGAGCAGCTTAAATTTTTTTTCAAATGGAAGGAAATGGATGAGATATTGTACATGGACGGGCAATGTGAAATAAAGCAGCGCCAAAGGATAATCAATGTTTTCAATGATCCAAAGAGCAAAGCAAGGGTATTGCTTGCATCAACAAGGGCTTGCTCGGAAGGTATAAATCTTGTTGGTGGTTCTAGAGTGGTTTTGCTCGACGTGACATGGAACCCGTCTGTTGAAAGACAAGCTATATGCCGTGCATACAGGCTTGGACAGAAAAGAGTTGTATACACTTACCACCTTATCTCATCTGGGACAATAGAGGGGTTGAAATGTTATCGACAAGCCGAGAAGGATCGGTTATCAGAATTACTGTTCTATTCTTCTCACAAAGGGGATGTTCAGCACAATAATGGCTGCAATGTCCCAGAGGATAGGATTTTGGAAGTGATGGCGCAGCAAGAGAAATTCACTTCAATGATTGAAAGGATAATAAACGAGCCCAAAGATTCTGACTTGATCGTAACTTATGGTGGTCTGTAACAGGTATGCATCCCTGACTCCCTGTTGAAAATAGAATTTTTCATTATAGAAAGGACTCGAGAGATGCCAACTTTAGAAGCTGATGGCGTTTGCTTTTTGCTCATCCAATCTGCTGGGATTTTGATTCCTTATTGTTATGTTGCTGTTTGCTTTCAGGGTGTTAATGGCGGAGCTTGTGCAGCAGCTGTGTTATTAAGGGATGGTGGAGACTGTAGGGTAGTTCTCAGTAGGAAAGGCAGTGAATGATATCACTAAAAAGTAGTAGACATTTCTTGTGGAAGGGGCAACATGGATGATACTAATGTGGTGGTAGTCAACCATGAATTTTTTGTGTGAAAAAATGCTAGTTTATGCCAAAATCTGTAGGAATTATGTACACCATTTTGAAGTGCCATCTGATACCAGTATAGTAATTTTATGCAATTTAGAGTACGGGTTTACTAGTGCCAAGTGCAAGTTTTATACCTGTAGGTGTGAGAAAGGATTATCTTGTTCTGGTGTGAAAATTTCACACTATTTACATCTGCATAATTCTGCTGTGAGAAAGGATTCCCTTGTTCTCTAGTGAAAATTCAGGTTCAATTGTTTGTTAGGTCCTATTAGTTTGAAATTAGGTAACTTAAGCCTTAACTCTCTAATTTTTTTGGTTCACATTACTTTTAGGTCCCTCTTAATTGTGAAATTAGACGAATTACGTTATTACCAAGTTTTTTTTTCAGTTTGAATACTTATTAAATCCCTACAAATTTCAAAATTAAACAAACCTTTCTAGGTAAAAATCGAATCAATAAGTATTGGAGCGATTATCTCTTATAATATATCTTATTAGAAAAAAATGATATACAAAATTTATTCTATGGCAATGTGTTATAAGGACAAATAGATTTGGTCCGACAAGAGTGAAGACTTGCTAGATTTTAAACAGTAGGAAAGAATCTCATAAGAGATGATTTCTCTAATACAAGGTTGATTTTATAAAAAAAAAAGAAATGTATTCCAAAAACAAAAATAGACTGAGTTTGCAAGAACGAAAATTTGTTTGGTAAACAAATTTATTTTTTCAAATCGTTTTTATAATTTTGAAACATTTTAATACAAATTTCTTGAATATTTTTAAAATTTATTCTTATTTTTTTATTAATTTCAATAAATTGGAATTAGTTGACTACTTATTTAACAGATTTAATTACTTTATAAATATTTCTAAATCTTGTATTCTCGTGATTTTAAGAATCAAATAAGTCTCAATTAAAAAAAGTCAAGTCTTTATTTTTTTTTTTAAAAGTCAAATTCATTTATCACATCATTAATCTGCATTTATAATTACTACAATTTAATACCAACTGAAATTCAATGTTAAAGATGAAAAACCAAATGTTAAAGATGGTATCAGCAGTGTAATATTACAAACCAAGAGGAACAGGGATACGCAACGTTGGGGCAGCAAGGCCATCACGCAACTGAGAAGTTAAAACACCCATGGCATTGACATTGCCACCACGTTTTGCATTATACCGGTTCTTCTCATGAAGTTCCAATAATGTATCTTTCCCTTAATGACTCATATCTACGGTGAATTCAGAAATATTTTTGAAGGATGACATATATATTATTAATGGATATTTTTTGTATGAATAGATATAAATAAAATTTCAGAGTGAATATCAATAGTAAAATGAACTATTAATATAAAGAAATTCAGATTTTAAGATAGATAGAACCGAGGCACCCACCCAAGGATAAGTGATCCATCGAAATCCCTTTTATACGGAATTTCTTTTTTGATTTCTCTTTATTCTCATGTTTTCCTTGCGACTTCGCAGCTCGTTGTTGGCTAGGCATTGTAAGGACGGCACCATGACCACCATCACCCGAACGGACGGTGATGATAACTTTATCAAAATACTTGTGAGGTTCTTTCAGTAATGTCGTGGAGTTTGTCGAAGGCGCTCCTCGGTTTTCGTGAGTGACTTTATCGTACAGAATCTCCGGTTACGAGAATTGCTGGAGTGACCAAAGATGCACACCTTGTGCTTGCAGAAATGGGGAGGAGAGGACCAAAGAAGAATTTGTCGATAGTAAGGCGTTGGGTTAGATAAGAGGAAGGCAGCGAAACCAGAGTCGCCATTATCTCAAAGATGGATAATTTGCGTCAGATACTTTTGGTGAAAATAAATAAAACAAAAATAGTTTTTAGATGATTTTGGTATTTTCTTAAAATTAATATTTAAATGCGAAGTGACAATTCAACAACCACTCTAAGTAGAAAATTATGGGAGACACTAAAAAGTGGGAATGCATATGACAGATAATTTTAAAGGTAATTTTAAAATACTACTTTTACCTTTAAAATTAGGGATGTATAATTATTGTGGGACGAGTTTAGATTAAACATCACACACTTAATTTATTATTATTATTAGGGGTGTTTGATTTAAGAATTGTGCGAGGAGTAGGAGAAATAAGTTCTCCTGAGCAGTTGTAAGAGGAATCACACGCGAGGAGAGGATTGTATGGCGACCTACAATTTCTCGGATTGCTTGGCGACTTACAAGGTCGCCCGGAGTACTTGACGACCTATGATTGGGGACGTGTATGTGCCATGCAACACGTTCATTCACGTTCATTCTCTATGTGTGTTTGTTTGGAAGCTGGCCAAGTAGTAGATCTCCCGGATGGCATGACGACCTATGACCAACACTGTGAATTTTACCCCATTTGAACAATTAATCTGGGGAGTGCATTATCTCGTGAAATAAAAAATTCGAGAACATTATCTAGTAAATTTTACCATGAAGTCTCTGTGCAGTTTTCTTCGTAATATAAAACTAACACAGAAACGTAGTTGTTGTAAACAACTAATTTTATCAAACTGAAAATAAAAACACATCTATAAATAAAAGACGAAATCTTTATTATCCAACGACGTCTGATCCTTCTTAATACAAAAGGTATAATCTTTGCGTTTGTTCATCATCATATCGCCAGAAGCAATGGATGATGATAATCCAAGGTTCACAATTCCGATCACCTCCGTCCCTAGAGAGATGGAGGCAATGGAGGTGGAAGCTTGAAGGGAGAAAATTCAAGTTGCAACCAATGTAGAAGAAGATGGAAGTGGATGACTATCCCATTGAGCAAGTTAGGCTAACGGTTCCTGTTGGTACTGCTCAATCCCACATTGTATTGTAAATACTATTGGAAATTTGTATTTATGGTTTGGATTTCCCATTTCCTTGTTGAGTGAAAGAGAACAAGGGGAACTCTCGCACACCGCCGCTACCGTCGGCTCGGCTCGGCTCGTGGTCGTAGTAATACGTGTCTTCAACACTTCTGCGCGGATACTATTTTTTTAGAGAAAATTCTTGAGGAATTTCTCTTTGAAAGAAATAAATGAGGAGACCGTGTTAACCTCGGGGGACGGTCCGCCTACTGCAACGATTATACATATCGGGACAAATTCGTTTTTAAGACAGTGGTTATACCACGATACGGTTTATCGATCTGTTCTCGGCCTTGACGTTTCGCACATGGGTTCTCAGCCTACTATCTCGTTGCGTTCTATCCTTCGTGAATGAATTCTTTGCTTATCGTCAAAATTAGCTCTCGGTCTCGTCAATATCGGCCCAGATCGTTGTTCTCCCTTTAGGGAAGCTAATGGCCGCAACTCTGCCAAAAACTGAAGTCCCAGTCCCATTGACGCCATGGTCTTTCTCATTGAATCCGGGGCCATTCACCAAGAAAGAACATGTGCTGATAACCATATTTGCCAACCGTGGAGCTGGGGGTGTTTATGCAGTAAATATCATCACCATTGTCAAGGCCTTCTATCACAGATCATTGCACCCAGTTGCAGCCATGTTGCTAGCACAAACTACGCAGTTGCTTGGATATGGTTGGGCTGTCTGTTCAGAAAAGTCCTGGTTGACTCACCTTACATGTGGTGGCCAATCACCTTGGTCCAAGTTTCTTTGTTCGGTACATTACACGAGAAGGAAAAGAGACCAAAAGGTGAACATACAAGGCTACAATTCTTCATCATGGTTTTCATATCAAACTTTGCTTACTACATTGTACCAGGCTACTTTTTTCAATCAATATCGGCTTTCTCCTTTGTTTGTTTGATCTGGAAGAATTCTATCCCTATCCAGCAGATAGGATCTGGCCTAAACGGCTTTGGCATTGGCTCATTCGGTCTCGACTGGGCCACTGTTGCAGTCTTCTTGGGAAGTCCTCTTGCCACACCCTTTTTTGCCATATGTAACATAATGTTCGGCTTCTTCTTGTTTCTCTATGTTCTTATCCCCATTGCTAACTGGTTGAACCTATATGAAGCTAGGAGATTCCCCTTGATTTCTTCTCATACTTTCAACGCTGATGGCCAGACTTACAACATTCTAGAATTCTGAATAAGAAAACGTTCGATATCAATCTTACCGAATACAACAATTATAGCAAACTCTATCTGAGTGTCGCATTTGTTTTTCTATATGGATTAAGCTTTGCAACCCATTCGGCCACCATTTCCCATGTCTTCCTATTCGAGGGAAAAACAATCTGGGAATTGTGGAGAAAGACTACATATGCATCCAAGGATAAAATTTCTGATATACACACGAGGCTGATGAAGAAGAACTATGAAGCAGTCCCCCAATGGTGGTTTATTGTTATATTGGTTACAGTTATGAGGCTTTCCATCTTAGCCTGTGAAGGTTTCGGCAAACAGCTGCAGCTCCCATGGTGTGAAGTTCTGCTAGCCTGCGTAATTGCACTGTGTTTCACCTTGCCTGTCGGGATCATTCAAGCCACGACGAACATGGCTGTGGGGTTAAATGTGATTACCGAATTGGTCATCGGGTATTTGTATCCTGGCAAGCCTATGGCAAATGTTTCTTTCAAGACCTATGGCTATATCAGTATGGTACAAGCTCTGATGTTGCTTTCAGACTTCAAATTAGGCCATTATATGAAGATCCCTCCCAAATCGATGTTCGTCGTGCAGC